GACCCGGAAACAGAACCGTTCTAGCTACCGGTTTTTGGGTTAGTGGTTTGACCGTCCGGGTTGAATGGTTTGGACAGTTTGCATTAGGGCAAACTAGAAAGTAGTTATATATACTTATATATGAGAAAAGAGAGGTGGAGAATAATAGAGTTTTTGTCGGCTGAGAAAGAAGAAAAGAAGGAAAGAAAGAGGGAAAGAGGGAAGAAGGAAGAGGAGGAGAATCATTTGATATTCACCAGCCACGGCGACGGTGACGGCGACGACGACGGTACCAGCGCGAGTGACAGATCTTAATCTAAGATATGAGTTCTCGGATCTTAGATTTGTGATCGATTTTTCATTCTTTTTTTTAGATCTCWGCAACTTCTTCTTCTTCTTCTTCTGGATATCAGATCTCAAACTCAAAGAGTCAAAGTTTCTCCCCTCTCTACAATTTCTTAAACCGCGAACCATTGTCTGGGTCAAACAAATCAATGGTTCGACCGCCTGGGTCAACAATTTTCTGACGAAATCAACGGTTTTTTACCCAAGAACAAGTCAGGGGTGAAACAGAACCGGTTGCTTGGACGGTTTCCAGGCTAAATGGTCCAACCGCCCGGGTCAACAGCGGTTCAAAAACATTGATTTATAATATATACAAACATATTTAAAACACCATTTATAATTTAAAACTTTTATTTAAGTTAATTTATTTTTCAAAAAAATAAACATGGACTTTAGGCCTATCTTTCTAAATATTAAACATGGAATACATATTTTTATATTATGTGAAATATAATATATATGTAAAAATGTATGTTATAATTTATGTCTTACCCATTAATGAAAATAAGAATGGTTCAATGTTATCGTTAAAGAACCCTGATTTCATTCTTCCATTTATACCCCTGTCATTAAAATAAATGGATGAGCGTCCATGGTCCAACACCCCGATTTATATTTCCAATCCTACCCCTCCTTGATTTCATTTTTCCAATTTTATCCCCTCTTAAAATGCTGATTTTATAATTTTAATCCTACCCCTCTCTAATTTCATATTTCCAATCCTATCCCCTCTTAAATGCCTGAATTTTATATATATTTATATTTATATATTATATTATATTATATATTATATAATAATGTTATCGTCAAAGGACCCTGATTTCATTCTTCCATTTATACCCCTATCATTAAAATATATTTTCGTCTTATATATATTAAAGGGATAGG